AAAAGCAGATGATGTCAAGAAATTATGTCATGCTATAAGAGAAAAGGTCACTGTCATTGTCCTCCCATTGTTCATCGATCTGCTTGAGCGGGCCCAGTAACATTGTGAGACTTGTTACTGTGTTTGGCATATCGAATATGTCATGGGTAGCTTACCAGGCTTTGCCGTGAGGGCAAGATACTCTCGGTAGCTTGCTGGGCTCTCCGAGAGGGGAGGAGGAATCGAACTTGGGTCAGTCACGTTGGCTGCATGCAAGGCGAATGCCCTACACACTGTACTATCACTCCAGCACAAGAGAAAAGGTAAAGCAATAAAAATAATTGAAGATAATAAGAAGATAATATCAGTGGTGGAAGGAAGCAGACACTTTGGCAGAGGTTTTTGTATAGGAATGTTGTATGTATGAGAAAAATTGAAAATCATGGTACCACAAATAAATTTTTGAAAGAAAAAAAGAGAAGTTAAAATATCAGAGCGAAGAGAGAGTAAATCACACCAAAAGAAAGGATTGAAGTGATAGCACAGCATTGAGAGTGCTTGCCTTGCACAGGGCTGATAGGGGTTCAATCCCCAGCATCCCACATGGTCTCCTGAGCACCACCAGAAGTAATTCATGAATGCAGAGCCATGAGTAATTCCTGAGCATTTCCAAGTAGATGACTCGCCTGCCCCTTGCCCCCGCAAAAAAAGAAAGAGTAAATAACACCTAAAAAAATCAACTAATGTGCGATTATTATTAAGTAACACAGAAAGCATTCCATATTTGGGAAAAACATATTAAATCATTGACAATAAATGTGTGTTGATCTGGCACAAACTAGGTCAGTGGCCAGAGAGGTGACTCAAAGGCTGGACCACATGACTTTGTATGCAGAAACCCCAAGATTACCCCCAACATAGCTAGGGTCTCCCAAGTACCAATGAGTGTGGACCCAAATAAAACAACAAGAAAAACCTCCAAAAAACATTTGTGCCTTCAAATACAAAAAAAAATTATAAAAATAAAAACTATTAAAAGTAATTTAACAGTTTAAAAATATATACAAATAATCTGGGGCTGGAGAGGTAGCACAATGAGTAGGGCATTTACCTTGCATGCAGCCGACCCAGGTTTGATTTCCAGCATACCATATGGTCCCGTGAGCACTGCCAGGAGTGATTCCTGAGTGCAGAGCCAGGAGTAACACCTGTGCATCACCGGGTGTGACCCAAAAAGCAAAAAATAATAATAATAATAAAATAAAAAATAAAAATATATACAAATAATTTAAGAGTATAGGCCAAATATTCATTAACCTCCTGTTTCAAATAATAGTGACTGAAAATCATGTAAAATTTCCTACGGAATTTTAGATAAAATATTGTGGCACAAGAATTCCATGTGTAAAGGGATATACATGATAACCCTTCAGTACCTGTATTGTAAACCATAATGCCCAAAAGGAGAGAGAGAGAGAGAGAGAGAGAGAGAGAGAGAGAGAGAGAGAGAGAATAGGCTGGGGAAGGGGTGGCAATTAGGGAGGGTGGGAGGAGGGGAAACTGGGATCACTGGTGGTGGGAAATGTATGCTGGTGAAGAGATGGGTATTGGCATATTGTATGACTGAAACCCAATCATGAACAACCTTGTAGCTGTGTATCCCATGGTGATTCTATTAGAAATCAATAAATGAATAAAAATTTAAGAAAAGAAATTCCACATGTAATTTAGACAAAGATATTTCTGAAAATGAAATGGACCAGAATGTATACACGTAGAATACTTGGCTGAATAAATATAGTTGAGATTAATCATTTACCAATAAGTTCCATTAGACTTTTATAACTGTAGCACTGTAGGTAGCACTGTCCTCCCGTTGTTCATTGATTTGCTCGAGCAGGCCCAGTAACGTCTCCATTGTGAGATTTCTTGTTATTGTGTTTGGCACATCAAATACATCACGGGTAGCTTGCCAGACTTTGCCGTACAGGCGAGATACTCTTGGTAGCTTGCAGGGCTCTCCAAGAGGGGCAGAGGAATCGAACCTGGGCCGACTGGGTTGGCTGCATGCAAGGCAAACACCTTACCCTCTGTGCTATCGCTCCAGTCCTTTTATAACTGTGCACCAAATTTTTAACACTATATTTACTGAAGAACTAGGTAAATGCCAAATCATTCCCTAATGCCAAATCGAAGGACTGTGTTGGTGGTCAGAGAGATAGCACAGCAGGTAAGGCATTTACTTTGCATACGACCAACCAGGGTTCAATCCCAGGCATCTCCCACGGGATTCCCTGGGTCCCTGCGTGCAAAACCAGGAATAAATAAGCCCTGAGTTCAACTGGCTACAGATCCCTGAGCTCAGAGTGAAGCCCCTTCAGGTAATAGCTCAACTCCCCCACATTTCCAAAATAGATCCATATTGAGCAGCAATTGATGTGAACAAGGAAGCACACCAGGATACAATATAGTAGTTTAGATCCTTTTAAAGACACTTCCATTAAAGCAGGTAAACAGAAATGCGCATATAGCCTAAGTACCATAAATTGCATGATGACAACTTGTCCAGCGCCAAGCATTCACATCTGAAAATCTGGAAACATCTCAGAAGCCACACCAAAGCCACACCAAGTCTCTGCCTCCCCAGAGATGTAAGCCACCCTCCTTCCCTGGAGCACCATAGACAAGCTTAGACCATTCTTGTTTCTATAGACAAGATCAGACCACTCTGGTTTCTCTCAGTGAACACTATTTGGTACTAAAGAAATCATTCCTTTCATTCCAGTGTTAAAACATGTCAATGTACTTATATGTGGATTTGGATTGGATTTATTATAATTTACTTATATGTAGATTTAAATATGTGACTCTTTCCAGTGAGGGCCATTATTTGTAGTGCTGTTAAAAGAATAAAAACTCCCTGAGCACTGTGAAAAATAGGGACCAACATTCACATGCACCCGTCCTTTGAGAGTGGTAAAGACAGACATGAGCTGGATGCTGCTGCTTCAACATGTACGAGGGGAAGGTAGTCTGACCTTCACCCCCATAATTCAAAACTTCTTGTTAGTTGCCCCACATAGGCAGGATAGAAAATTGTCCTTGGTATACTTCTGCTTTGGATTTGGGGGTGGTGAATCTAGCAATGATGATTGAAAGAGGTCACATCACTTTTATTTATTTATTTATTTATTTATTTGTGTAGTTATTTATTTATTGCTTTTTGGGTCACGCCCGAAGAATGCACAGGGGTTACTCCTGGCTCATGCACTCAGGAATTACTCCTGGCAGTGCTCAGAGGACCATGTGGGATGTTGGGAATCAAACCCAGGTTGGACACGTGCAAGCAAATGCCCTATCCACTGTGCTATCTCTCCAGTCCCTCACATCACTTTTTTAAATTCTAAGTTAAGAACATAACTTTTTTGAGTATATCGAAAGATCTACCTGGTTTTATTAAACCATGAACCAGGCAGCTTCCCATCTAAGCACAGAAAAAGGAGCTGGGTGGAGCTCATAGTCTATTTTAGTAAGAGCAGACTGTTTCAGGCCCTGGAGGGCCAGCAGATTAGCTTGCTAAAGTTGACCAGGAAATTGTACCTTGGGTGTCTAAGATTCTTGAGACAGGTTGAAATAGCAAAGCCTTGCTTTGATGAATGTGTGGTTTAGCATAAGTGACTCCACTTTGAATCTGTTCTCTTTGATGTTATAATAAGATCTGTAGCACTATAGCACTGTCCTATTGTTCATTGATTTGCTCGAGAGGGCCCAGTAACATCTCCATTGTGAGACTTGTTGTTACTGTGTTTGGCATATTGAATATGTCACAGGGAGCTTGCCAGGCTTTGCCATGCGGGCGAGATACTCTCGGTAGCTTGCCGAGCTCTCCGAGAAGGGCGGAGGAATTGAAATCAGATTGGCCATGTTGGCCACATGCAAGGCAAACGCCCTACCCCCTGTGCTTTCGCCCCAGCCCATAATAAGATCAATATGAGAGAATTAAAGACTAATACAAAGAATGCAATGTATAAATCTGAATTATTTTTTTTCTTGATAATCAGATCTTAAAAAGAAAGTGATTTGCCAGGGGAGTCAGGATGAGAATTCTGGATTTGTTCCAACAGCACTCAAGGGCTCAGGAGGACCCAATGCTCAGCAATACTCTGCCAGAGCCTTGAAATACATCCATGACCCCTGAACTATCTCCCAAGTCCCTCAAATTTTTAACTTAAATCATCTAGAGGACTTGCTGAACCACAGACTTCAGTCTGTGTGCCCAGAGTTTCTGAACAGGAGCCAGGGAGAAAGCTGAAAATTTGCCTTTCTAACGAGTTTCCAGGTAATTTGGGAGTGGCCAATTCAGAGACCCCACCGTGAGACACAGTGACCCTGAAAGCCTTTCCAGTAAGTGGCTATCATAATTCTAAACAACAAAAATGTCTCAGAGGTGACAAAAATCAAAATTTGCTTGAGTCTGTTTTTGTAGATGGTCTATAGAAATAGTTTTAATCCCACATATCTATTTGGGAATGTATGCGATATCTCTATCTAGACACTAAATAAAGGTTCCTTAGGGTACTCCCCTAATGAGGATGCTGGTAGGTCAAATGCTTTTCCATTTGCATGTTAATCGTCTGAAAGGAATGTTCACAAATTTGTTCCCAAGTATAATAATCACTCCCTCTATTATTCAACACTTAGCAAAACATCCCATTAATTAAAAAACACAAGCTGCTTTAGGATGTAAGCCAAGGAAGTTCCAAAGGAATGAATCCCACAACTCAAGAGAAAATAAATAGGCTGGAAACCCAGCGCAGTTTCCCTAGCTATACACCAGGGTCCCTAAACACCTGCCGGGAAATGAGAAGCCACATTTGCATCGTTTCTGTGGAGCAGTCCTCATTCACGGAAAGCAAGTCACCTGACTTCTTCTTGGGCAATCTTAGAGGCTGGATTTGCTTCCCTTTCGGCTTTTTCATAAACAAATAACCAGAAAATTCTGTACAGAGGGAGAAGCCAGTTCCTCTTTGCAGCTAGCATCAGGTTTACCTGCACTTGGCCAAGGGGGGTCCAGTGTTACGGGTTTGGACTACACACCTCAGCTGCAGTTCACTCAAGGTTCACTTGCTGACTCCCAGCTCAGGGGACCCACCTGGACAATGCCACCTGCAGAGACAGACCAGCCCACAGGTACTGAAGGGCTATGCTGCTCCCACCCTGTGCTTCCCTCTCACACTTTCCCTTCGCTCTGATTCATTTGCTCGCAGTTTCCCTGGGTCCTGCCCTGCTGTCTCTGTGGGTGTGGGGAGGTGGGTGGATCATTAATCCACAAGTGGGTTTGATTTCTAAGGTCCGTGGACCTTAATGCTTGGTAGGTAGAAGAGGAGTGAATTTTCTTAGTAAAAAAACATTGTTAATTTACTCTTTCCAAAGCCAGGGGATACATAGCCTGTTCTTTTCTATTGTCTTCTGATTATCAGATCTGCTGGGGGTAGGCTTGTAGGAAAGCTCCCCGGAAGCCTCAGCCATGCCCCCCTTGAACCACTTACAGAAAAAAATCTGTGGAGGTGGCACTTGGTTGTTCTTTAATGAACGAGTTCTAGGGCCCGACCTGAGGTGTGGCTAGGTGAGGTCACTTGCGTGGCTGGTGGTGAGATCTCTCACTTCAGAGCCTGAACACTCCCCCCAACTCTACTGCACTTACACTTTCCCAACTTCACAGGGAGTCACATAGTGCCTTGGTTCCAATTTGAAGATATCAGTCCACAAGTCATGTTTCACAATCAGTTATGTTCTCTGGGGTAGAATGTCGTCTGTATCAGGAAAGAAAAATATCTGCTATTTCCTCATCGCTGAAGAAGAAAGGGGATAAAATGACAGAGGGGAAAAACCAGGTTCAAGAATTCCCACCGAGAAATATACATTTTTTTACAGATATATACAAAAAGCACACAAGGCTCAACCTTTAACAACATGTAAGTGAACTTTTACAGAAGGGCTTAATGGCCCCTGGGTGAAATACAACAATCTCCACACTCTTTCCTCTAAGGATACTGTTTTGTAGTTTTTTCCAGTGTTTTTTCATAACAAATGATACAAAATATATTATTTCAGTTCTTGCTTTGGGGCAGGGATTGGGTTTTGGGATGGAAACATCTGAAACATGGTGGTGGGAAGGTGTAATGGTAGTGGATTGCTATTTGAATGCTAAATGTAATGAAATATTGTGAAATACTTTATAAAATAAAAAATATATAAAAAATTTAAAAAAGAAAAAGAATTCCCACAGAACTATCATACAAGTGCCTATAGAAACATACTCTGTTCCTGGAACCAGAGAACATGGAAGAGAGCTTTGTACACAGTCCACCCAGGTTCAATCCCCAGCATCCTATGGTTCCCAAGCCCCACCAGGAGTGATGTGGCACCTAAAATTTAGTTCTAGGTAGTGAAGGAAAGAATATTGAAATCTCCAGAGTGCACGTGTTTGTGAAAGTTTCTGAAACTCCAGTCTGCAGCTCAGCCATCTGTTTCTTGGGAGAACAAGAACAATTCCCTCTAGGAGAAATACCTAAAATATCTGTTTCCCTTGTCATCAGAATGACCCTTGTCATGTTTCTCCTGAGAAATTAGGATCAATCTATAGAGCTATGGCCAGAAATTACCAAGCTAAACACAAAATCTAGCCTCTCTGCCAGAACAAGAACATAAGTTTCATAGCTAGCTTTACGCTTTTCTTTCACCCTCTCAAAAAGGGCAACTCCTTTGTATTTTAATTCTATGCGTAAGTCACACTCTACAACATTTAAGATCCTGGGTTCAAAATAGGGAAGCAGAACCAAAATTAGGAATTTCTGATTTTTTTTTCAGAAAAGTGTTAAATTGACTTATGTTGATATCTGAGTTAATCCTTGAACCACTCTCCAGTCTAACATCCAGTACATGTTATGAGTTTCATTTGATCTTAAGCTGGATAGGAATCAGAGAGGAAACAAGAGAGTTGGAATGCCCCCAAATCAAAGTCAATGCATTTTTGGAACAATGTGCTTGCACTGGTACTCTTCTCTTCATTGAGAAGAGTGAATCTAAGATCCTAGTAATTCTACATGCTATATTGAACTTCTGTACCTGGGGCCAATATAAAAGAACAAGTCAGAAGAACCACGTTATAAAGGGGAGCAAGTAGCTGCCAATGGCAAGTTTACAAAATGTGTACATTAATGTATGAAGTGGTCTAGCACAAACCCCCTAAAGTAATGTCGAACTTGATTTCCATATCTGAAATGAATACTAGCACCATTCGATTGTGCTGGCCCTGCCCAGATCATCAGCTGTGCCCAGGAGACTGCAGAGCTCCCACTGTCACTTGGTTCTCCTCAATACAGAGATCTGTTCATTAGGCTCACATTCATTATTTTCTGCACATCTCACTCCTTTTCATGATTGGCTCAGAACATTTTACATACAACTCACCTCCTTCCCAGAATTGGCTACATATCTCTTTTTCAGCACCTCCCAGAATTAATTAATCTACAGATAACAGGAACTTCCCACCTAAACTTTGCAGAGAAACACAATAAGAGACCTCCCAAGATTGCTAAGTGTGTCTTTCTCTGTGGAGACCTCCACTGTGTCAGTATGACCAGCGGATATTCTTTTAATAAACTTAGTTTGCTCTTCCACTTAAACCATATCTCTTTCTTGGTAAATTCTTTTCCCACCCTATTCACTAGCCCAGTGGGTCCTGGATTCAAACTCCTCTCCCTTCAATATGGGGACATGTAGTGTGAGGGTCTCATCATAGGCCATAAAAACCTATAACAGGGGCTGGAGTGATAGCACAGTGGGTAGGTCGTTTGCCTTGCACGCGGCCGACCCGGGTTCAATTCCCAGCATCCCATATGGTTCCCTGAGCACCGCCAGCAGTAATTCCTGAGTGCAGAGCCAGGAGTAACCCCTGTGCATCGCCAGGTGTGACCCAAAAAGAAAAAAAAAACTTATAACAATACTATATAAAACTGTAGCAAACTGTAGTAAATAAGCCATTATATCTCAGAACTATGAGTGATCAACACAGCATTAAGAAAAGATTTGCTGGCTTTCAGTATTTCTAGTATAAAATGGAGGAAGTAAATCATACATAATAAACAGATCTACTAAAAAGTATTTTCAGTGCAATTAAAATTGCCTATCAATAAAAAGGTAAATCATTCGCTATCCTTAAACTTGGCTATTTACATGGATCCATTCCTTAAGGATGCAGATTGCTGAGTTTCTCTTTAAAATATAAAGAGACATATAATATAAAATACAATGATGACATTAGTATTGAAAGCCTTATAATAGGTAGTTAAATATTCATGAACAAGCCATGCACAATCTGAAACCATCTGCCCCAATGGCCAGGGCAAATTTGTTCCACAATTCCACACTAGGTCTGTGACTAGTCAAAGATGGACTCTTGCACATTAATTGGTGGAATGGGAAAGTACCAATGCATTTCCACACATATGTACTTTATTCATAGGGGGAGACCACCACATAATACACATTCAATCAGTCATTCCCATGTTACCATAGATCAATAGTGATAGGTGGTGCAATCAGTTTTGCTTGAACGTCAGAAGAGTTGAATTAGAAGGTAATCATACACTAACAAATCCTATAAAATAATTCTTATCACGAGAATCGGGGCATCTGTGTCACATATAAATTTTTCTTTCCAAACTCATAAGCTATCAGTGCCAGAGTGATAGCACAGTGGATAGTGTTCTTGCCTGGCACACGGTAGAACCAGGTTCAATACCTGGCATCCCATGGGGTTCCCTGAGCACTGCCAGAAATTATTCCTGAGCACAGAGCCAGGAGTTACCCCTGAACACCATTAGTTGTGTTCTCCTTTCCTCCCCCTCAAAAACCCTCACAAGATATTTTTCCAAAACATGGGGAAAGTTAAAATCTGAAGTGTTCTTTCCCACAAATATCAATTTTTAAAATCTATGTCTCATTTGGTTTAAATATTGAGGGAAGGGACCTTGTCTTCTCATATCTCTGGAATGCAGCAAAGAACATAAATAATTGAACAAACATATAAATTTTTGCAAAACAAAAATGAAATGTAACTTATGTTAGTGTCTCTTAAATAAAATAATTTAAGGTGATGGTTTCATTGGCTTCCAAAAAGTCTCATAGTTCAATAATACTTCTAAAAGCCTTAAATAAATTTCACCATGGAGTCTATTTCAATAGCCTGGACTTCTGTAATTATCAAGGATGCTGATGCTAACTGGCCTTAGATATCTCCAGTGATGAATTAGACATCCTCATATGAAATTTTAGACATCATTTTTTTCTCACCTCATTCTCCCTCATATGCAACAGATTCCACAGGCTCGTCCTCATTGAAGATGCAAGATCATCCTTGCTGAAGATGCAACAACTTAATTGCAATTATTCTCTGGAAAAGGACAATGATACAGCAGATAAAGAGGAACACTTGAATGCAGAAAATAAACCTCAGTGTGGTCCAGAGAACAACTCTTACGATATCACACAGAAACTCTCAGCAACAAAGCCTCTGAGATGCACAGAGCAAATGGAAACTACCTACACAAAGGGCCAACCCCAAAGCTGCCAGGACTCTCCTCAGTCCACCACGAAGAGCCTGTCTAAGAAACATTATGAGTACCAAGGGAATCTTCTCCACTTTGATCGGCAAGCCCCAGGCCGCATTTCCACCTCTCCCACTTTGAGGAGATTAAGAGGCAATGGCAATGGAACTCTGCGTGCTCTATCTCAGCGACAGGCTTTAGAAGCATCCACTTGGAAGGAGGCTCCAGGATCCCCATGTTACTTTTCCAATGGTGTACCTGGACTACCAAAGGAATCTTCCCAATTCCAGTCAACCCAGAGACGTTTGCCTCTGGATGCTGAGAGGGTCCTCAGTGCAGCTGACTCAGTGGCACCCCAGATGAGGCCCAATGATGAGCAGGAGCTTCCTAACCTTCATGCTACGGATGCTCAACCTCTTCCTCAGGCTCCTTGTCCAGAGAGACAAGGCCCATCATGGCCCGGCCTTATTCAAAAGACCCCTGGTCCTCAGGTAAGTGATTTAATGCTAAGCTATCTGTTGCTCATGCAGGAGACCACAAAAAAAAAAAGACTTGAGGGTGCTTATTTCTCAAAGGTAGAGGGCCTTCAGATAGGACACAGTCCAGGAAATCAATGCCGTGAGAATGAGTTCTCTTCATGACGCATTGACTCAAGTTCATCTTCTTCATGGGAAGAAGATGAATGGAGGCTGCCACACCATCTTAGGTGTCCTGGATGACCTACAGATGGGCGTGTTAGGCACCAGAAGGAAAAATGACCCTGGTACAAGCACACAATTTGATGATGACCAGGTGGGACTGGTTTGAAGGGGAGAAAGAATAAATTTGTTTTGCTTTGTTTTGTTTGGGGACCACACCCAATGGTGCACAGAGTCCACTCCTGGCTCTGAAATCAGGGACACTCCTAGAAGGGTTTGAAGAACCATATGTGGTGCCCAGGAATGAACATGTGTTGGCTACGTGCAAGGCAAGCACCTTACTGATTGTAATATCTGGCCTCTGATTCTACTTACTTCTTCTCCACCTCCCTTCGAAAAATAAAAATTAAAAACAATTTAGGGCTGAAGAGATTGTACAGGGAGCTGGTTACTTGCCATGCACGATGCCAACCCAATTTCAATCTCTGCACCTCATATGTTTCCTCAAACCCCACTAGAAGTTATTCTATGTACAGATCCTAGAATAAGCCCAAGCACCTCTGGGTGTGGCCCCCAAACCAAAAAGCAAACAAAAACATTTAGCTAGAAATACAAATTGCCTCTCGTTTCAGGATAGGTTCTTTGGAATTTGGGGTGGCTTTAAACAAAACTGAAACAGATATTTTTCATTTATTCCAGCGAGAAGAATCGCAACCATCCAGGTATGTATGCCTTTATTTTTTCCAGTGCCATGAAATCTGTTGGCTGTTTACTTTGACATCTTGATTTCTACTCTGACATTGAAAGTCTGATTGCATATTATTCAGGGATCTTTGGTTTACAGTCCACAGGCCACTCTTCACATTTATGGGCGAACAACTTAATTTCATGTGTCTCCTTTCAGAGTACAGAATTTTGCTGTGACTTTTTTGGGCAGGAGATGACAGCCACATGCGGTCACGGTTTTCATTTTGAATTGTCAAACACTTGGCCTGGTGGCTTAATTAACATCCTCTCAGTAATAGGCTTTGTCAGGTAGAGAAAATGGAAAGGCCAGAAACATTCACAGTTTCCTAAAGAGAACATTTGGAGGACAAGGATAAAAGGAACAAGATGTACTGTTTAAATCTAGGACGACCTTTAAAATGCCTATTTGACAGACTGCCTTTAACTAGATTGCAGGAATATCGTGTCACTTTAGAAACAAGCTCTGATCTTTCAACATGGTCCCCAGGTTGTAGCAGTGAATCTGTCACCCCTTCCAGGGATGAAGAGCTTCTGGAGTAACAAAGAAAATATTCATAACCTATTTGATCCATAAGTTTGTGAGATTGGTGGGAAAAAAAATCCTTATTTAATTTATAAAGTCACAAAAGATACTTCAGAAGATTAATGACTTTTATCATTAGACCCCCGGGTCAGAGCGATAGCATAGCAGGTATGGTGTTTGCCTTGTACTCGGCCAACCCAGGTTCTATTCCTCCGCCCCCAGAGGAGAGCCCAGCAAGCTACCAAGAGTATTCCGGCTGCTCAGCAAAGCCTGGCAAGCTACCCATGACATATTCAATATGCCAAATAAACCAGTAACAACAAGTCTCACAATGGAGACGTTACTGGTGCCCGCTTGAGTAAATCAATAAACAATGGGAGGATTGTGCTACAATGCTATTATTAGATCTCTATCCTCAAACAAGAGTGTGCTATTCAGAATAAAAGAATAAGATGCATCCATGTACAAATCCTTGTTTATTTCTACCCTATTTTATACTCAATGTATGAACAGTATATGATACTTAAAAAACCTGGGAAAATAAAAACTACTATGTTAGTGTATCAGCTCTGGCCACATAACAAAGGACCCAATGCTCAGTTGCTTAAAGCAACAATTAGTTACTGTTTCTTATACACCAAATATATCTGTTTCTTATACACCAAATATATGTCCAATGGGAGTCAATTGATGTAGACTACAAGTAGTTTGGCTCTGCATACCCCTCATCTTTTTCGTGGGACCAAAGGATTTGTAATAAAAGAATTTTGGGCACATTCTTCATGTGGTGAAGGGATAGGTTCAACAGGACGATTGAAAGCATGAAATGCCTCTTAGAACCTAGACAGAACATTTTCTAATCCTGTAGCCTGAGGCAAGTTATAAGGCTAAACTTGGGGACAGGAAATTATTTCTAACCAGCAGTTAGACATAACTTGAGGCACAATCTGGCTAAGGGTATGGATACAGAGAATAGTTAATTAACAGAAACATCAGTACAAACTGTCCACAGGTGAAACCAGGATAAAGTTTTAAAGTGATACCTAATTCACATCTGAGAAAGTGACAAGGACAATTGCTTCTAAGATGAGGTTATTGATTAGAGTAGATCATGCCGTGTCCAGGACGGTGTTTAATGATTTTGCTCCTTAACCTAAGAACAGTGTGAAACAATGAAACAATTGAAATTACTAATATAATCATATGTATACAAAATAGACACTATACACTGATCATCGTGGACTCCAGCAGGAACATTAAAATGTTCAGATAAAAGAAGAAGGATTTAGTGTAAGCTACAATCTAATGAAAGCAGTGGGCATATGAAGAAGTATCTAAATTCAAGAGAGATTTAGGAGACCCAAAGAGTGGTCAATGAAAGGCCATAAGAAAGGATGAAAAGAAATTTGTCAGGAATAGTACCCAAATCTTCTTATTTGTATATCTGAGAGGCAACTGGTTCCCTTCATTTACCTAGAAAACTTTGGTGGTGTATGGAGAATATAATGGGTTGACAGTTCAGATTTGTATATGTTGTATTTGAGCACCTGTGAGTAGAGAGTTTAAGAAGATGGTTAGAGAAATCAGGGTAAAAGGTATGTCTGAGTGTTTTTAATCAAAAAATACTTCTTAGAGCAGGTAAAGTCTGTATCCAGCTTTGATTATAAAAGAGAAAAAAATGACTAATGTGATGTATCAAGTCATTTATAGAAGATGTCATGAAGAAATCACTTCTATTGACACACAGAATCTTGGTGAGGAATAGCACAGGTGGTCTTGGAAAATTCAAAGAAATAAAATTGCCAAAGATCTTGCGATCTTAAAACTCTCTGTGAGGTTAATATATATTCTAAAATAGTGGAAGTTTATTGGAAATACCAATAGAAATTAGAATGAAAGAAATTTATACTATTTGAACTCTAATAATGGTCCTTAATAATTCAATATGTTTCTCCAAGACTCAAAACAAACCTTAGTATATAATAGGCAGTATTGATTTAATTAATAAATAAAAGACTAAGGTACTATAACCTATGAATATTTAAATAAACAATCATACATGCCCGATAATAAAGGATATATTTCAATCAACCAAAGACCTCTCTATTTATACTCATTTAATTGTCTTATTTTATTAATGTTTTAGCATCAATAATTTTATGAGCATTTTAAATAATTGTATGTTTATTTATTATAATTGTCACTGTCCACTGTCCTCCCGTTGTTCACCGATTTGCTCGAGCTGGCCCAGTAACGTCTTCCATTGGAGACTTTATTGTTACTGTGTTTGGCATATCGAATACGTAGCGGGGAGCTTGACAGGCTCTGCCGTACGGGTGAGATACTCTCGGTAGCTTGCCGGGCTCTCCGAGAGGGGCGGAGGAATCGAACTTGGGTCGGCCATGTTGGCTGTGTGCAAGGCAAACACCCTACCGCTGTGCTACCACTCCAGCCCATTATAATTAAAATATTTAATTTTAAGCACGAACCTTTGGTAAGTAACTAACTATGTATGCCACAAAGACCCTGTCTCTGCCTGACTTTTGCCCTCTCTTCTTTTTCTTCTTTGTATTCAGGAATTTTCCACAGCAGCAAGTTGTTCAAAAACCTACCTCAGGGGTCTGAGAGAAAGTACAGGGACAAAGGTGCCTGCCTTGCATACGTCCAACCTAAGTTTGATCCTAGAAACACATATGGTTCCCTGAGTATCACTAGGCATAATCCCTGAGCACAAGCTAGGAGTAAGCCCTGAGCCCCGCCAAAAATGCTCCCCGAGCTGCTCAAAGTGATCTACTTCCTTTGAACGGTCACTCACCACACCATGTAGAAATATCATGTCAGGAAAAGGACTACACATGAAGCCTTCCTGTCTATTCAGAAATTGGATATCTTATCACAAATAATTTATCTAGACCTTTATTTACTTGAAATTTATTTAACTTATCTTTTAAAGTTATTAGTGGTATAAATCAGGCCCTAGACCACTATAGTCTCAATTCAGTCTACCACCTGCTTTTAAAAATAAAGTTTTACTGGCACACCGTCCCATTCATTTAAAAACTGTTCTTGGCTGATATTACACTTTAATAACAGTTAAATATGAATGATCAATACAAATACCACAAAGCCTAAATTATGTATTATCTCACCCTTTAAAAAATATTTGCTGACTTCTGATATAGTCAGTCAAGAAATGCTTGTCTTAGTGATTGTTAGTCAATCAGAGACACCTTTTATTTATAATGTGTTTACCTTTAGACCTCTAGCACTCACCACCTAACTAGAGTCTATCTTAAAAAAAACCCACTTATTGAAAGAAAGAATGGATGGAAACAGGAAAACAGGCAGACTGGCAAACTTCTTAGCTTATAGCATCTCTTATCCATCCCCATGGTATTTTCATTTTGACAGAGTATGTGACTTGAAGCCAAGCAAGGAAGCTATGTTAGTTGGATTTTAAACATCAGGAAGCAAGTGAGAGCGATGTAGTGAATAGGGAAACATTTCTAGCATCTCTTAAAATCTATTTTCACAGGCAGTTATCTCTCTCACTCACTTTTCCAATCAACTCTGAAACTGAGAAAGGAGATGCTAGTACTGTGAGAACAAATATAGACGTTCTAAAGCTCAAATGGAAATATAGGAACTACTAAATATCTCCAAAATAACAAATGAGTAACACAGCATCTAAACCAAGTCACAAGATATATGAATCTTGGGAAAGAAACCAGACAAAAGTGTTGAATGCCACAAAAACACCTGTGGAGTCAATTTTAGAGACTTCACAACAAGGTGTAACAAGCTGTTGGATTAACACTGCCTGGATTTGAGTCCATTCCTATTTCTTTCTGGTATGTTCTTTAACAACTTGAAGAATCCAAGTACCATGAAATGGAGATGCAAATCATTCTTATTTAACAAGGCTGTTGATGTGTTAAATAATATACTTAAAATTTAATCATTATTTGAAAAAGCCATTTATTTTGAAGTAATTGATTTATTCTTTGGGCATCTTCAATACACACAATAAAATTTATTTTTTCTAAAAATTCTCTTTTTTCTTTTTTTTTTAAACAAGATACTCTTTTTGTTTGTTTGCTTTTTGTTGTTTATTTTGGGCCACACCCAGCAGTTCTCAGGGATGACTCCTAACTGCACTCAGGAATTACTCCAGACAAGCTCAGGGGACCATATGGTATACCAGGAACTGAACCAGATCAGGCACTTTCAAACCAAGCGCCCTACCCATTGTACTATGGCTCTGGTCCCTTTCTAAAGATTCTGATATCAAATGGATCACAGAAAAAATGGGCATATTTGGACATTCGATGTACTGTAATATTGTATAATCCAAATACTTTTATTTAAAACCTGGTTTATACCAAACTCAACTCTGGGAAGACAAAATAGAGAGAGAAGAATCCATCCCAGTTCTTAGGGATCTTGAAAGCC